GGAGTTTTGACAACCATACACACACACACACAGCCTTCTAACCCTTGGGTTTGGGGACAACGTGAACAATACGCTTTCCAACAAGTAAAGAAACTGCTAACTTCTGATTCTGTACTTATGCAGTACAACGAGACTCTGCCGTTAACTATTACTTGTGACGCCTCACCTTTTGGGGTTGGAGCAATCCTGGCCCACGTATTACCGAACGGAGCAGAAGCTCCCGTCGCGTTTTTTTCACGAACTTTAGCTAAAGCTGAAAGAAATTATAGTCAGCTGGATAAAGAAGCTTTAGCTATTGTGGCTGCAGTTAAACGATTTCATGAATATGTGTATGGGCGTGCGTTTACAATAATTACTGATCATAAACCACTACTGGGGATTATTGCGGGTAATAAACCAACCCCGTATATATTGTCCCCCAGAATGACCCGCTGGTCTGAATTCTTGGCGGCGTACAACTACACCTTGCAACACCGCCCGGGGAAATCAATTCTCCACGCTGATGCATTGAGCAGAACACCGCTCCCAGAATCGGTTGAAGATCCAGCCCCAACCATCACAACGCTGCAAATTGAGGCTCTACACACGCCGCCACTGACGGCGAGGGACATTGCCCTCGAAACAAAACGAGATCCGGTCCTGCAACACATCCTACGCTGGGTTGAACGTGGTTGGCCAACAGAACAACTATCACCTGAATGGGTGCCTTTCAAAGCCCGCCAAACCGAACTGTTTTCCCAAAAGGGCTGCATCTTGTGGGGCAATAGAGTCGTAATCCTGGGCAAACTAAAACGAACTGTTTTAGCGGTATTGCACGACGGACATCCGGGCATCGTGCGAATGAAAGCACTCGCACGGAGCTACGCCTGGTGGCCGGGAATCGACAAAAGAATCGAGGCCTGGGTCGCTACTTGTCAACGTTGCCAGGACGTCAGCAACACCCCACCTAAAGCAAGCCCAACCGAATGGGAAACTGCAAGGGGACCATGGTCCCGTATTCATATTGACTTTGCGGGGCCTACAAAAGGGCACACTTTCCTTATTACTGTCGATGCCTATTCAAATTGGCTCGAGATCCATCGAATGAACACAACTACAATGGACTCAGTTATCAACAAATTAAACAGGCTATTTGCCACACATGGTTTTCCGGACGTTCTGGTCTCGGATAACGGGCCACAGTTCACAGCATTACCATTTGAACAATATCTTGCTGACCGGGGCATCCGTCATGTGCTAACCTCGCCCGCGCACCCTGCGGCAAACGGACGTGCAGAGCACATGGTACAGTTTGTAAAAAAGACCCTCCACAAAATGGAATTCGGAAACATCGATGAGAAAATCAATCGAATTTTATTGTTGCAGCACATCACGCCCCACAGCGTTACCAACAAAACGCCCACCGAACTTCTTATGGGGCGGAAACTGCGATCGCACCTCGACCGGCTCCACCCCGCATACGCACCCGAAAAGCCTTTCGGCTCCAGCAGCAAATGCCAGGAATTTAAGGTAGGCGATTTAATCTTCGGCAAAAACTTCTCCGGCGACCCTTTATGGATACCCGCAACCGTCACCCATCTCACAGGGCCTAGATCTTACCGCCTGCTAACAGACGATGGGAGGGTGTGGAAATGCCACATAGACCAACTCCGTTCGAGATTACCACCCAGCGCCCATGGCTCCCCGGGTTCACCAACTGAGGGGGGAGGAAATATCGAGGAAATTGACTTCGATATGACAGATAGCAGGCCAACGGAAACCCTACGGCCCAGCGAAGTACTGGGAATTGAAGCAGGGAGGGAGTTGACTTTTCCATGGGACTTGAACACGGGGGAAACCGAACTGCGAAACCCCGAAGAAACACTGATTGGCGGAGACAACCACAACGAAAGCAGCACGGAATCACCGTGCAGCGAAACGGAACTTAATAGAGATCATCCAAACGCTCCACCGGAACCGGACTTTAGGCCAAACCCGGTGGAGCCACGGAAATCATCCGGACAGACCAAACGGCCTGTCTATCTTGAAGATTTTGTTACAGCTCCCCTCAAACGGAACCCAAGGGGGAGGGGTGTTGTGAATCAATAAAAGTAACTAAGCCCAATGCAAAGCAGGTTTTGAAAGCCTGCACACTTGATTGGTCCTTAAACAACGAACAAGGATTGGTCCATAACAAACCCCTGATTGGCCAATATTAGGACACTT